GCCCATGAAGAAGAATCGATGTTTCATTGAATCTGGGTTTCGATTCTGGTGGCTCTGTTGGAACCGATGATACATTCACAAGAACAAACATACCGATTAAACAATTCCGAACTTCAAAGAACACGTGTGCGTTTTCGAGCACATGTCCAAGATTGTGAGGCTCACGCGATGCCCTGGGGGCGGCACAGAGTCGGCCCCGCTGATTCTAGGCCGGCGGGTCGGGGGCCCAAACTCGGCTGGGTGGTTCCAGAGGCGCTCGTGGCCCTGGGAGCAAAGGGCAGGACTCTGGGACGGCGGGTCGGGGGGCGCCCATAATCGGCACCGCCGATTCTGGGACGGCGGGTCGGTGGCCTTGAATCGGGCTAGCCTAGCCTTGCAGTCCGTGGTCGCCGCCGCTGCCGCCGCCGCCGCTGCCGCCGCCGCCGCCGCCGCTGTCGTCGTCGTCGTCGCCGCCGCCGCCGTCGTCGTCGTCGTCGTCGTCGTCGCCGTTGTCGTCGTCGTCGTCGCCGCCGCCGCCGCCGCCACCGCTGTCGTCGTCGTCGTCGCCGCCGTCGTCGTCGTCGTCGTCGTCGCCAGTGTCGTCGTCGTCGTCGCCGCCGCCGCCGCCGCCCTCGTTGGGGGCTCCCAGACGGGCGAGCAGCACTACCTGGCGCCCCCGCAGCTCAGCGATATGTGACAGGCAAACATGACGCCATTCATCCTGCTCGCCTTGCGGCAGCAACCCTTCTCCCCGCAAGTGGACGCGGTCCACGGTCAGCCCTGGTCAGCTACAATGCTGGGATCAGCGCGTGCGAGAAAGGCGAGCAGTGGCAGCCAGCGCTGGTGCTGCTGGGCGAGATGGGGGAGGCGAAGCTAGAACCCATTGTCATCTCTCCTACATGGCCGGGGGAAGCGCGTGCGGGAAGGGAACAGGATCAAGTATCTAACATCGGTCTCGGCGGGCCCCTGGCGCGGCCTCGGCGGCCCCTGGCGCCCCTGGCGCGGCCCAGCGGGCCTTTGGGCGGCTCGAGCACGCTTCGGGACGCCTTCAGGGAGCGTCGAGGTCGGGCCAAGAGCCCAACATGGCCCCAGGACGGCTCCAGACGCCGTCCAGACGGCTCGCGGCGGCCAAAAACCATTGATTTGTCTATGGTTTTCAAGTTCTAGGCTCCAAAGCCGCCGCAGAACTCCTGCAAGGGCCCCTGGACGGCTCAGGAAGGTTCCAAGACGGCAAGTCGGCCCAAGAGAGCCTCAAGACGGCGCGAGAGAGCCCCCAGGAGCCCCTAAACGGGCCCCGAGAGCCGCCCAAGAGGGCTCACGGAGAGCTCCGAGACAGCCCAAGAGCCCCAACATTGCCCCAAGACGACTCAAGATGCCGTCCAGATTGTTTGCGGCGGTTTTGGCCTGATTTTCAGGTTTTCGCGAATTTCGAGCTAAGAGCGACCCAAGACGGCTCTTGGGCACCCCACGCTCCCAGGCTCAAGAGGCTCCGGCAATGGCCCCAAGACGGCTCAGGAGGGCTCCAAAACGGCTCCCGGAGGAGCCTTAAACGGCCCAAGAGCGACCCAAGACGCCGCGAGAGAGCCCCCAGGAGCCCCCAGACGGGTGTCAAGAGCCGCCCAAGAGGTTTCACTGCAAGCTCCGAGACGGCCCAACACTTTCAATATGGCCCCAAGACGGCCCAAGAGGCCGTCCAGACAGGCCGCGGCAAACGAACTCATTGATTTCCTTATGGTTTTTGAAAGGTTTCCACCTTCTATCGCCATTTCGAGCCAAGACTGGCCGAAGACGGCTGCTGGGGCTCCCCCGAACGCTCCAAGGCCGTCCAGGGGGATCCGGAGAAGGCCCAACAACCGGGCTCCAAGATGGCCCAGGAGGTGCCCATCATGACCCAAATGCCGCCCAAGATGGCCCGACGACATTCCGAGATGCGCCCAAGACGGCCCAAAACGGTCCAAGACTGCCCATGAGGCGCCAAAGACGGCTCCAAGTCACCCTCAAGAACCCACATGATGCCCGAGGATATTACCAGCCGCAAGACATACACACTCTGAACACGCTAGATGACGTGGACGACGGGTTCGCCTTAGTCTCTTCTACAATGCAGCAATCTTTGCGTGCCAGAAGGTCCTCTGTCTTGAAATGTCCGCTGGGCTCTCCAGGCCGCCCTGCGAGCCCCCGGGCCGCTCCGAGACGGCTCAGAGACGCCCACGAGGGCGCCCGGACAGACCAAGAGGGACCCAACCGAGCCCCAGGTCGGCCCCAGAGGCCTCCAAGGCAGGCCAGGAGGCTCCCGTGGCGGCCCAGGAGGACCCCCAGGAGGGACCCAAGAGGCAAAAAATTACACATTCCTTTCGGAAAATGTGCATTTTTGATATGCTCGCTCTGTTCGTCTTCACGGCTATACAGGCCTCCCCGGTCGCCCCAAGACGCTCCCAGAGCACCCCAGGAGGGCCCCCAAACGGCCCGAGGCGGCCCCGCGACGGCTCCAGAGACGCCCCAGACGGCCCCAGAGGCAACCAAGACAGCCCCAAGAGTGGTCAAGAACGGCCAAGACGGCCCCAAGACGGCCACAAGATGGCCCCAGAGGCGCCCAAGACGGCCCCAGATCGCTCCAAGGCGGCCCAAGATGCACCCAAGCCTGCCCAAGAGGGCCCGAAAGACCACCAGGACGAAACGAGGCTTCCAAACGGACCCCATGAGGCCTTGAATGCTTGTCTCTTGGGGAGTGTCGACGACTGACGAGAAGATCGATGGGATGAAGGGTCGAGGGTAGGAGGATGAGGACACCCAAAATGGCCCCCAACGCCGATAGAAACCACCGAGTTGTCCCGAGCATGACCCGAAGGAGGCCCCAAGACGGTCTAGACACACCGAGATGGCTCCTAAAGAAGATCGACTGGATGACCGATCCAGGGGAGGACGAGGAGGGCGGCCAAGATGGCCCAAAAGCCGAAGCCACAGAGATGTCCCGAGCATGCCCCGAAGAAGGCCCCAAGAGTGTCCAGACACCCCGAGAAGGCTCGTACCGCGCAGCCCAAGTAAACCAAAGTGACAGTTGCTTGACAGTTTCTCCAGCGTCCTATCGGTGATCCTCCCGTGCACAGGGCGCCTGAGCGGCCCCAGTACGGGCCGTCTCGGCGCCCTCTTGCGGGCCTCTTGGGTCGTATATCAGGCGGCCCCAGCTAAGAGCAGATGAAACTATCACGGCGACCCGCCCCGCAAAAGCTATGATGAACACAGAGGGCGACGTGAGAAACAGCTTCTGTCCACATCACGTTGTGTCTACATGCGTTCCTGCCTTCAGGCAGCTTGCCTGCATCCCTCGCCCACCTGCCCCTTCAGCGGCCACTTCTTCCATCCACACCGTCCCCTCACACCTCCCCCCCCGCGAGGCCCCGGAGACGCTCCATTACCATGGCGGGCAGACTCCGCGGTCGGAAGGCCGCGGGTCAGCCCTGGTCAGCTACACTGCTGGGATCAGCGCGTGCGAGAAGGGCGAGCAGTGGCAGCGGGCGTTGGCGCTGCTGAGGGAGATGTGGGATGCGAAATTCGAGCCCAACGTCATCTATACTACAATATATACCGGGCATGGCGCGTGCGAGAAGGGCGAGCGATGGTCACCCGCGGCGGCGCCCCGCCCGTGGTGGGGTGACACCGTCCCTGCCCGGGAAAGCCCCGGGACGGCCCAGGAGGGCCCCGACGCGGAGGCCTCGAGAGTCTCCCGGGAGCTCCCCAGCGAGCCCGAGAGAGTCCCAGGACGGGCTCGCAGGACCCCCGCGAGCTTCCACGGAACTCCCAGGGGACCCCCACGAGGGCCCCGAGGCCGCAAAACTATTGACATGTTATGGTTTTTGACGTTTCCGGTGGTGCTCCTCCCGCCCGCCCCAAGACGCCCACCACAGCACCGCGGGCGTCCGAAATCGGGCCCGTGCTGCCCGGGGGGCCTCCAAGAGAGTCCCCAAGACGGTCCCAGAGGCCCCCGATCGAGCCCCTGGGGCCCCCAAGACGGCCCAAGAACCCCCCAGACGGCCCCAAGGGACGCCCAAGCGGGTCCAGTTTGGAGCGCTTCCCCCACCTCCGGGCCCTTCCACGGCCAGCAAGGCTCCAAGACGCCCCCGAGAGGCCCCCAGAAGGCCCCGGAGGCGCTCCCAAGAGGCCCCCAGGGGCTCTCCAGAGGCTCCCAGAAGGCTTCAGAGGCGCTCCCAAGAGCTCTCCAGAGGCTCCCAGAGGCTCTCCAGAGGCTCCCACAGAGCCCCTCGAGGACCCCCTCCCAGGTAATTATCGGAGGGCCCCCCCTGCCGCTTCCCCGATGCCTCCGCTGGGAACAGCTTGCTACAGCACGCGGCACTGCTGGCACGACGAGCAGCAGGCTGGACAGGAGGAAGGGCATGAGACGGAGGAGGGCGAGAGGAGGGGAGGAGGAGCATGAGGACGAGGAGGACGGCGACGACGACGACGACGACGACGACGACGACGACGACGACGACGACGACGACGACGACCACGACCACGACCACGACCACGACCACGACGACGACGGCAGCGGCGACGACGCCGACGACGACGATGACGACGACGACGACGACAACGACGACCACGACGACGACGACGACGACGACGACGACGACGACGACGACGACGAGGACGAGGACGAGGACGAGGAGGACCAGGACGAGAAGGCCCCCCGGGAGGCCCCCGGAGGTCCGCGTTGCTTCTGTTGTTGCTGGTCCGCGTTGCTTCTGTTGTTGCTGGAGCTGCTGCTGCAGCTGTTGCTGCTGCTACTGCCGATGGTGCTGGATCTGCTGCGGCTGCTGTTGCTGCTAGCGCTGCTCCAGACGCCGTCAGGATCATCAAGCAAACAGCGCACCCTGAAGCAATAAGCAGCAACGAGCGCACGCTCAATCCTCTGGCATTCGTGGACGGTAGTCCACGGGTCAGCCCTAGTCAGCTACAGCGCTGGGATCAGCGCGTGCGAGAAGGGCGAGCAGTGGCAGCAGGCCCTGGCGCTGCTGAGGGAGATGGGGGAGGTGAAGCTGGAGCCCAACGTCATCAGCTTCAATGCTGGGATCAGCGCTTGCGAGAAGGGCGAGCAGTGGCAGCGGGCCCTGGTGCTGCTGAGCGAGATGCGGGAGGCGAAGCTGGAGCGCAACGTGAGCTTACCTACGCTGCAGGGGTACCTGCGTGCGAAAGGGGCCTATGGATCAAAACCTGGGGAAACGCCCGGGGCGAACTCGAGGACGAAATTCGAGGACGAAATTCGAGGAGGCGAACTCGAGGACGAAAAAAAAAGGCGAGCTCGAGGACGAAATTCGACGCGCCCTCGTCGCCAGGGGACGAGATTTCGTGCGAGCGTGCCGTGCTAAATGTTGCCCGCGCCCCACCCGGGCCGAGCGATCAGGCCCCGGCGCTGGCGCGGACAGTAGTTATCATGCTGCCCAGGCGTTAAATCTTGCCCCTCGGCACACGGACGCGTCGAGCCGCCCGATTCTCGAAATCTGAGGGCTCCAGCGACAGTCCGAAGAGCTGAAACCATGCGTTTCCATTCAGTGTTTCTGTTCTAGAAAAGATTCTTTTTTGGAGAAATAGAAGATCTCCCTTCAGCTTGTTTCAGGCTCCGGCCGCCGACGATGCCCGCAGGGAGCCCTGGAATGGCCCCAGACGGCCCCAGACACCCTCAAGGACAGCCCCAAGACGCCCCGGGAGCCTTCCGACGCCGCTCACGACGGCTCCGACCTGGGCACACGGAGGCCCACCAAGGCCGCCACGGTGCGCGGCATGACCGCCCGAGGGCGGAATTTGACGCGGGGTCTGGGCCCGAGGACGAGACTTCACGTGAGGGCCCCGCGCGCACCGAGCTTGAAGACAAAATTGAACGCGAGGGTGGCGAGTTTAATTTGTCCGCGGCTCCCGGGGTCCATCGCTGAGGCTTCCGGCCTGCCGCGGACAGATTCATCGCAGTGCCCAGGCTTTTAAATTTTGAGCTCCCCACGGTTCCAGGAGCGTCCTGGCGCAGAAGGACTGGAGATGCGCTTTTCGGAAATATCCCCCCCCTCCTTGCTGAAAGAGGACGTAGTCCACGTGTCAGCCCATAAATGCCGGCCCCCCGGGAACGGGGCGACCGCCGAGATTGAGGCCCTGCACGCGGAGCCCGAGACCACCGGCAACCTCGGGAACAGCTCCGAGGCTCTCGGTTGACGCTGCGGCCACCGCGGCAGCGACGTCGGCAGACCATGCGACGACGGCGGCGACTGCGGTGAGGGCGGTGACAGACTTCCTCCTCCTTGACCGAGTGGAGCCAGGCCGGGAGCTTCGGCCCGGCTGCACATCCTCTGCCGATTGCCGCCCAGCGTGCGACACAGCAGCACGTCGGAGGCCGCACATCCTTCTGCGGAAGGGACAGATGCTTTGGAATTCCTCCTGTCTCCCCTCCTTCACGAGATCTTTTTTTTCCGGCGGCGGCGACAGCGGCGAGGGCGGCGACAGACTTCCTCCTCCTTGACCGAGTACGTGCCAGGCCGAACCGCCGGCCAGCTTTTCAGCGAGAAGTGGGAAGACAACGTGGCGCCTAACGTAATTGAGTGCGCCTGGCGACACTCCCCCTCCCCCCGCGAGTGTACGTAGTCCACGGGTCAGCCCTAGTCAGCTACAGCGCTGGGATCAGCGCGTGCGAGAAGGGCGAGCAGTGGCAGCGGGCGCTGGCGCAGTTGAGCGAGATGCGGGAGGTGAAGTTGGAACCCAACGTCATCAGCTACGGCGCTGGGGTCAACGCCTGCGAGAAGGGTGGGCAGTGGCAACAGGCGCTGAGCATGCTCAGAACCATGCCTTTGAGAAAGGGGAGCGTTGACTTCACGGTCTACGGGATTGCAGCCAGCATGTGCGAGCAACGCGGGCAGTGGAGCCAAGTGCTGTCTTTATTCAGGGAAGTGCATGTCTCAGTAAAAGGAGATTGATAAAATACATCTCATGTTCGATACACGTGTTTGTTCAGTTGCGTCGCTGGGACCGGCGCGTACGAGACGAGCGAGCAGTGGCCGATGGTTTTGGCGATAGCGCAAGCGAGGTGCGGACGTCAAAGCTGGAGCCTGACGCCCAACAACATCTCTACACCTTAGGCGATGCTTAAGAAAGCCCAAATTTTCGGCCAGAGTCTCGATTATTCTAATGTTTCAATGTGAAGCCTAAGATTTGATTAGAAATTCTGGGTTTTTATTCAACTTCTGAGACCATGAATTTCTTAACCCATGATTTCTAAAGCATTTCGCAGAGTGTACGCCCAAGAGCGCTCCGAGACGCCCCGGGGGGCCTCCAGCAGAGCCCCAAGACGTCCCAGGACGTTCCACGAGGGCCTCCGAGACGGTCCAGGAGTGCTCGGAGACGCTCAAGAGAACTCCAGACGGCCCAAGAGGCCCCCCAGAACGCTCCAAGTGGGCTCCCAGAAGACGCCCGACAGAGCCCGCACAAGCAAAATTCGTTCCAAGCTGGCCCCAGGGCCCCCAAGATCGCGCCACGATGGCCCCAGAGGCCCCCAAGAGAGCTCCCAAACAGCCCAAGAGGGCCCCAAGACGGCCCCAGGAGTGCCTCACGAGGTGAAACTCCAACTGGAATTTCGTGTTCTCCGTTCCAGGATGATCCCAGAAACCGTCAGTTGCCCTCCAAGAACCCCCCCCGACGCCCCAGAAGGCCCCACAGTGCAGGAAGACGGCCCAAGAGGGCTCCAAGAGGCCCCCGAGAAGGGCTCCGATACGCTAAAATGATGGATGTTCCTTAAATGTTTGAAGGGTTTCACCGTTTTCGCTTTTTCTGAGTCTCCACGCTTCGAGCCGGCCCCAAGGTCCCCCAAGAGCTCCCAGACGGCGCAAGAGGGCCACAAGACGGCCCAAGAGCCCCCCAAGACGGCCCAAGACGGTCTCAAGAGGACCACACGAGGGGGAACTCGAACTGACATTTCGCGCACTCCGCTCCATGATGATCCCAGACACCGCCAGCTGGCCCCCAGGAGGCCCCCCGAACGCCCCAGAAGGGCCCTGAAGAGACCCTCGAGAGGCCAGAAGACACCCCTGAAGCCGCCTCCCAGAGGCTTCCGAGGGAAACTTCCTCAGAAAGCTCTGGAACTGCGCCGGCCACACAGGAAAATAAGGCGCCGATGCGCCTCTTATTTTCTTTCGGGCCGGGCGAAAGGGGGGGATTGGGAAAGGGGGGGTTACGAAATTTGCTGCATGCAGCTGGTTTCGGCCCCACCGAGGGGCCCATTCCTCGATACATGGGCGCCTCCCGGCGCCGGGAGGCGCCGGGAAAATCAGCTACGTGAGCTCATTCTCAAACCCCCCCTTTGCTATCCCCCCCTTTCGCCCGACCCGATTCTTCCTTCCTCTGCAAAGGCTCCAGTCTGACTTGCTCGCATCTTCGGAGCCTCCACGCCCCAAGCCTGCCCCCAGGGCTCCCAAGAAGGCTTCCGAGGGAAGATCCCTTAGAAAGCTCTGGAACCGCGCCGGCCTCCCAGGAGAATAAGGCGCCGATGCGCCTCTTATGTTCTTCCCTCCTCTGCAAAGGCTCCAGGCTGAGGTCGGGATCAAGCAGCAATGAGCGACATCAATTAAGCGGCAAACGCCGAAGAAAGACAAAACGAAAAGCCGCGAGTGGCAAAACGCAGTACCCAGCAACAGCAAGCGGCTGTAAAAGGCACTGGGCAGAAGCAAGCACGCTTGCCCAGACACTGCTCGCCACCTCGAGCAGATGTCGTGGACGTAGCCCACGGGTCAGCCCTAGCAGCCACAGCGCTGGGATCAGCGCGTGCGCGAAGGGCGAGCAGTGGCAGTGGGCGCTGGCGATCCTGAGCGAGGTGTTGGAGACGAAGCTGGAGCCCGACGCTATATTTACACTACATCGCCGGTGGCGCCGCGTGCGGGAAGGGCGGGGGCCCAATGACTCACAATTGTGCCGGCCGGCCCGGGCGCGCTCCCGGGCGGCCCCCGGGAAGCGCCAGGATGCCTCTGGAGGGCCGCAGGGTGACCCCGAGACGGCTCACGGTGGGCGGCCTCCAAGACGCCCCCGCCCCCAGAGGCCTCGAAGAAGGCATCCAAGAGGGCCCCAATAAGCAAAGATCGTCCCAATCCGATTGGAAAGCGTATCTTTTTTTGTGCCGTTTCCGCGTTCTCGTTTCCACCACGCCCAAGACGGCCCTACTACCCTTTAAGCTCGCCCCAGTATGGCCCCGAAGGCCTCCCGGAGGGCCCCAAAACGCCCCAGGACGGCTCCAAGACGGCCCAGGAGGCGCCCAAGACGGCCCAGAAGGACCCCGAGGGGGCCCGAAGAACCCAAGACGGCCCAAAGCGGCCCCAAGACGCCCCGAGAACCACCCTAGTCAGCCCCAAGACGACCCACGAGGCGCCCAAGGCGGCCCCACAGGCTTCAAAGAGGCCGAAAGGATTCCAAACAGGCCCCCGAACGGCTCTCATGATGCCCCTGGAAGGGGCTTCAAAGCTGCTCTCAGGACACGGGCAGCGGACGAGAGGCTGATCGCACGCCCGAAGGAGTTGTTTTACACGCTCCGAGGGCCCTGGATGCTTGTGCTTTCGGGGGCCCCGTCGTAGGATCGACGATGGACGACGCAAGGTCGAGAGGGTCAAGGATCCAGGGGAGGAGGGGAGTAGGAGGAGAAGGAGGAGGAGGAGGAGGAGGACGAGGAGGTGGAGGAGGAGAGGTCAGAGTCAAGCAGCAAGTAGCGACAGAAGCCTTTCGGTAGCATGTCCACCACCACGAGCCAGCTCGTCCAGATTTCGTGGACGGAGTCACCCCTACTCTTTCCTGCATGGCGGGGGGAATCGCGTGCCGGAAGGGAAAGGGATCAAGTGTCTAAAATCAGCTTCCGCGGGCCCCTGGCCCCCCTGGCGCGGCCCGGCGTGCCTCCAGGCTGCTCGAGCACGCTTCGGAACTTCAGGGAGCGCCGAGGTCGGGCCCCCAACATGGCCCCAAGACGGCCCCAGAGGCCGTCCAGACAGCTTGCGGCGGCGGCCGAAGATCATGACTTGTTCCACGGTTTTCAGGTTCTCGAGCCAAGAGCGGCCCAAGACGGCTCGTGGCCCCTCCCACGACTGCCCCCAGGCTCAAGAGGCTCCGGCAAGGGCCCCAGGACGGCTCTGGAGGGCTCCAAGACGGCTCCCGGAGGAGCCCCAAGGTAGCCGAAGGACCGCCCAAGACGGCGCGACGACAGCCCGGGAGGCACCCGAGACGGCCCCAAAAGGGCCCAAGGCTGCCCACGAGGCGCCCAAGACGGCCCCGGGCCACCTTCAAGACCCCGTACACGAGGCCCGCTCCGAGCCCGAGGCCAGATGACGTGGATTAGGTCCACGGGTTCGCCCAAGCCTCTTCCGCAGTGCAGCGACCTTTGCGCGCGAGAAGGGTCTCTGTCTTGCCCGGAGGAGGAGGAGGAGGAGGAGGAGGAGGAGGAGGAGGAGGAGGAGGAGGAGGAGGAGGAGGAGGAGGAGGAGGAGGAGGAGGAGGGAGGAGGAGGAGGAGGAGGAGGAGGAGGAGGAGAGGAGGAGGAGTAGGAGGAGGAGGAGGAGGAGGAGGAGGAGGAGGAGGAGGAGAGGAGGAGGAGGAGGAGGAGGAGGAGGAGGAGGAGGAGGAGGAGGAGGAGGAGGAGGAGGAGGAGGAGGAGGAGGGAGGAGGAGGTTGGAGGAGGAGGAGGAGGAGGTGGGGGTCCCCAGATGCCGACGAGCAGCTTCAGGCGGCATCGGGGCGGCTCCGAGAGGTTCGAGGGTGCGCCACGACGGCCTCAAGACTGCCCCAGAGGCAACCCAGGCCGGCCAGGAGGCTCCCACGACGGCCCAGGAGGGTCTCCAGGAGAGCCCCAAGAGGCCAAAATCGTTCCACTCCCTTCGGGGAACTTGCATTTTCACCATGTTCCGTTGGTGTCGTCCTCACAGCGTCCGAGATGGCTATACAGGCCGCCCAGCTCGCCTCAAAACGTGCCCAGAGGAGGCCCCAAGGAGGGCCCCCAAACGTCCCCACACGGCACCAGGACGGCTCCAGAGTTGCCCGAGACGGCCCAAGACGCACCCAAGACAGCCCCAAGAGCAGTTAATAATGACCGAAGACGGCCTCAAGACGGCCCCAAGACGGCCCCAGAGGCGCCCAAGACGTCCCTCGATGGCCCCAAGACGGCCCCAAAGGCACCCAAAACGGCACAAGAAAGGCTTCCCCAACCCCCACCCCCCCTGCGAGGCCCCCGAGACGCTCCACTTCCACGTCCGCACCATGGCGGGCCGATTCTTCGGCTGGAAGCCGCGGGTCAGCCCTTGTCTGTCCTACACTGCCTGGAACGCTGCGTGCGAGAAAGTCCCACCGACGGCTGCGAGCCGCTCCCGATGGCGCCCCGGACGCTCAAGAGGGCGCCCCGACGGCCCCAAGACGGCTCCGAGACGCTCAAGAGACCGCCCCGACGGCCCCGACTGCTCCGACCCGCTCAAGAGGCCGCCCCGGCTGCCCCAGAGGCCCCCAAGGCAGGCCAGGAGGCTGCCCCAAGAGGCCAAAAATCGCCACACGCCCGTCGGAAAACTTACATTTTGGGCATTATTGTGCCTCTCGGCTCCGACGCGTCCATGGCGGCCAGACTGGCCCCGAAGGTCACTCCAAGATGCCCCCGCGAGGGCCCCAAGACAATCCAAGACGGCCCCAGGACAGTCCAAGAGGCGCCCAAGACGACCCCAGATGCAGCCAAGACAGCCCTAAGAGCCGCCCAAAACGGCCCCAAGCCGGCCCCCAAAGGCACACAAGACGGCCCAATGCGGCCCCAAGAGGCTCGCAAGAAGCCGAAAAGACACCGCAAGAGTCCCCCGACGGCCCCCAAGAGGTCCTAAGTGGCTTCAAAATTACCTCCAAGTGAGAGGGGGCGGACGAGAGGCGAGATGCATATCGTATTCCCCCTTCAGCCGGCCCCCATGACGCCCTAACTGGCTTCGAGTTTGCCTCCGTGAGAGGGGGGCGGACGAGAGGCGAGACGCAGATCGCAGGCCAAGAAGAACCGCTTTGCCTCCTTCTGGGGAGCGTCGTCATAGCGTCCACGATTGGCGATCGGAGACCGAGCAGATGAAGGATCCAGGATTCAGCGCGTCTCTTGAGCCCTAGTCTCGCTGAGCCACCCTCCGCCCCCTTCTCGTGCTCTTCCCCCCTGTCTCTCCTCCAGACAGGCATGTGTGAGAACGCGAGAAGTGCCAGCGGAAGCTGGGGGTGGCGGGAGATGAACAGCAAAACATATCCCGACAGGCGTCCAGCGATCACCTTGCATGTCCTGCCTGCGGCAGGCTGCAGGGTTCGCTGTGTCGCTGGCAGACTGGCGGGTGACCCCCCACACCAGACTCCGAAGACGTGCGGCTCCGACACCGCAGCCTGGGTGGTATGCAGGTCGCTGGCGCCAGCTTCCACAATATGCACGGAATCTCGGATGCTTTCCCCTGTCTGATGGGGAATGTTTGCGGCGGCGGCAACCGCTGGCGGAATCCACTCGAAAGAAAGAAAGCACGGCTGGGAGATCTCTGGGACAGAGAAGATGAGCTTGGGACATGGGCGAAACCACGGCCATGTGCACCGCCGTTTTCTGCTTTACGGTAGTCGAGCATCTGATCAAGACACCTCCTGCCGGAAAGCTGGGCCGGCGTTCCTTGACCGACTTGCCGGAAAGCTGGCCCAGCTTCTGGGGCGCGTTCGCCCCTCCAGCGTGAACCATAGACTTGGCCCAGGCTTGTTTTAAGAAGCGTCCAGGCAGCTGGCCCTGATTTCATGCATGCTGCTATTTGTTCGACTGTACGGGGGGTGGCCGCCCAGGCCACGAATGTAGCAAGCGTTTGGGGCGAGAGCACGCTTGAAGCGTGTTCTTCGGGAGGAGGAGGACGAGGCGGGAAGCGGCGTCCCGCCTCGTCCTCCTCCTCCTCCTTCTCCTCCTCCTCCTCCTCCTCCTCTCCTCCCCTTCCTCCCCTCCTCCTCCTCCCCCCTCTCCTCCTCCTCCCTCCCTCCTCCTCCTCCTCCCCTCCTCCTCCTCCCTCCTCCTCCTCCTCCTCCTCCTCCTCCTCCTCCTCTCGAAGAAGCTGAGGAAGTCTGGGGCGACACGGCGGCGGGCACTGGGCGGGGCACAGGCTGCCCCCCCCCCCCGTCCCCCGACTCTTCCTCTGCGGTGCCTCGTTGAGGGCCCAGAGCCGTTTTGAACACATGCTCCGCGTGCGGATCATGTATTAAACATGCAGGGGTTCACCATTAAACACAACGATGGGTTCATGCGTACATGTATTCATAAATTAAGCATGTAATACAATCCTATACGAACAAATCCGATGTATTAAACATTGCCCTGTCGTCAAAAAAGGCCGTCAGCGAAGCGCTGCTCATGGCGTAAGAGCACACACACTCCCATACCCATCGGTCGCTGAACGTAGGTACTTTTGGATTCCCACAGCCCAATCTACTTCTAGCGCCTTCCTGCGTCCTGAACCGATCTGCTTTTGCTGCGTGTTGTTGCTGGCCTGAACCCAATCCACTTTATCCGCCTTCCCTCTTCATGTTTTTATACCTACTTCTTCCGACCGATGCGTGCCCATAGGGGGGTTCGGAGGGGGGGGGGGGGCGGTCTTTGTGCATGCGTGCGCTTTGTCGGACCTCGGGGGAGGCTCCAGTTCGAGCGCCCCCCCCCTCCGACAGCACGCGCCCGCAGCTCTTCCCGCCCCCCCTTTATGGGCATGGGTGCGTGTGTATTGTTCGCCAAGGCGGGAACTTCGAGGGACGACGCCCCAATTGAAACAAACATGAGATCGGAGATCTGGGGTGGTCGTTCGACTGGAGGCCAGAGGCCCCTCGGAGGGGCTGGGCTTCTCAGAGACTCCAGGGGCCCAGGGGAGGCACGAGAGATGCAGGCGGTGGAGGAGGGCAAGCGGCGCAAAGCAGCACGCGGATGGAGGCCCAGGCCGCAGAGGAGAGCATTCCTGGAGGGAAGGGGCGAGCCTGCTCGTTGGATGCTCGTTGGCCCTGCGGGCCCTCCTGGTAGTCCGTGTTGTTGCCGCCCCCTGTCTCGCCCCCCCCCCATGCCCGAGGCCTCGGGAGTCCCGGACTGAGCCAGACGCGTCCACACAACCCGCGCCTCCTCCTCCTCCTCCTCCTCCTCGCTCGCTCGCTGGTTCGAAGCCCTCGCTTTAAAGAAAAGAGAGAAGGCGAAAAGAGTAACCCCCTGCGTACACATGCAGAGGAAGGGGCGGGGTGAGCTGAGGGACTCGGGAGCCACCTTCCACAAGCCTGCTCGGGGAGGCCTGCACGAGAAGCGCCGCGGCGAGTCCGACCGCAGGCGCAGGGAGCTGGCAACTATCACGAGGGGGGGGGGGACCCCGACGAGGGTGGCACCTCCCCCCGCACACGCCGGGCGCGAACGCGTCCAGGGACGCAAGACCCTTAGCCACCACGAGGCTAGGATGCAAGTGCCCAGCACCAAACGTACAGGGCATTTTTTTATCACATAGGATGTTTGAATCTAGCATTTGTAATTCATGATTAATGTATGAATGAACTGATGCATGAACTCATCGTTGTTTTTAATAACTAAATCCCTGCATGCGTAATACATAATCCGCACGCGGAGCATGTATTAGAAACGGCACTGTACACATGTCCACCACCGCCGAGGTCCCCCCCCTATCACAGTTAAGGAGCCCCTCAAGCTCGCGAAGATCATAACACGGATGGGGGAGCACCAGGAGGAATGGCACGCCATATTACTGCACACACACACACAAAAAGGCAAAGAGGAGAGCGGCCTGGAGGGTCCTGTTGTCCTGTCCCGCCTCCTCCCCATCCCTCTCGGCCAGTCGCTCAAGGCCCCAGGGCCTTGTCAGGGAACGCAGCGGGCGCCTGGAAGCCCTCCAAGGAGGGCAAGTGCGGCGCCAGGAGCAGAGCCGCCACCTCCCCTGAGGCGACCCTGCCCTCCCAGGCCCCTTCTTCGCGCGCGGGGGGCCAAGCCGAGAGGAGGGGGGAGCAGCCCGCACCATAGGTTCCCTCACAGGGAGCAGCAAAAAGCCGTGGCCATGCGCCCCCCTCGTCCAGAGCTCCAACCAGACCCAAGAGGGAGGCCGAGGGCGAGGGGACAACTCCTAGGATCGTCACAGGCGCCTCGGTGCTGGGCGTCTCGAGGGGGACCCTGGGAATCGCGACTCTCTCGGGCGGGGCCTCAACAACACGGTAACGAACAGCAGGGCCACAGACACGTTGAGCAGGGACGAGGGCATGCGTGTCTGACTTGCCACTTCGACGATTGGCTCTGGCCTCAAGCTTTCTCTGCTCAACAGCTTCCGCTAACTCATCAGGTTGTGGGCGCAGAGGGGAGGCGATCCAGGCGCGAAAGCACGCATGGGACCTGTGCAAATGCTTGACCAATCTTCCCCCCTGCCAAAACTCCCAACAGCAAACTGGGCACATCGACCCCGTGGCCACCTTCTCTGGTGCGTCCAGGGGGTTGTGCTGCTTAGAACGGTGGATGCGATAAAGTCTCGCTGACCTTGCCACATGTCCACACCCATAGCAGAGAAAGCCCATGACCTCCGACGGGGCAGGTTGAGTTGGCGGAGCCTCACAAGTATCTGGCTGGCTGCCCCCAGCGGGGCGCGGGGGCTCAGAGACTGTAGGTGCTTCCTCGCGAGCGCCAGCCTGCTCGCCACCACTGACCGCATCAGTGGATTTGGAAGGCGTCTCATCGCAGCCCAAAGACTCTGCCGAAACTTCATCAGGCCCCAATAACTGGCCCGACACCGGTTGTGAATCACAACCATCAAATTCAGACGGTTTGGCGAGGTCTCGCCAATCATTGCTTCTGGCTAGCGCGTGCTGAAATGCTGCACGCGTGCTAGAGCAAAGCAGCTTCTTGATCACTCCCTGTCTCCATTGTTGAACACGGAATGTAATAGCCCAAACACGTTTTGCACTCGTCGCTGCCTTGGCCACAGATGCCAAGTCATCTCTCTTGCCAGTACGGGCGAGTCGGATCAGGGAGTCGTCATCAAAACCAAATTCCCGTGAATCCACGTGTAGAAATCGTCGCAGCCAGCCAAAATCTTGTCGCATCGCTTTGGCGCATCCTCTGTCCCAAGTGTAGTCAAGTGACAATTTCACAAGCGGCGGAGCATCTACCAAGATGCGCGGCAGCAATCGTAGCCTGGCTACCGTCAAAACAACATGCAGGGGCAATCTCTGTACGGTGGCGAGGGTGTCGGCAAGTGACGCGTGGACCTCACTGCAATTGGTCACACCTAACTTGAGAGGCGTTCTGTAGATGGGCATGTAGCCTGTTACGGCCTTATCATGAGATAGCGCGGCAGAGGGTCCCACGTACTCGCTGCAAAAAGAAACTTCGATCCAGCGTACGCCTCACTATAGCGTACCTTGTGCACCAGGACTAGCTGCGTGCACGATGCCACAACTTTCTTGATCGGTCGCAAGGCCGATCTCGAGCTTCTAATTCTCTCCGTTATTTCAATTGTGCCGGCATCATTGAACCTCGCGCCCAACACCTTGTGTGAGCGCACTATAGCCACTTTAAAGTCGTATAGTTCACTCTCGAGCTCTGCGCCTTGGTGTGATGGATTCGGGCCTGAGTCCTGGCGCCAGCACCTCTGAAGCACATCATCGTCACAGTCTTGCCAACATTCAGCTTGAAACCGTGCTTCGTGCAGTGTACATATATAATCTCATCATACGCATCGTCTTGAAAGCCAGCTCGGGGGCTGGCGCTGCCAAAAGGGCTGTAAGGTCGTCCACGAAAGAAGTGCTAGAGTGGGTTTGCTCCAGATCGGGATCTGAGCCGAAATGGGCTACGGAGGGGGGGGGGGCGTCCAAACTAACCCCTCCTGGGCGGCTTGCAGCTCACTCCTCCTCCTCCTCCTCCTCTCCCTCCTCCTCATCCCTTCCTCCCTCCCTCCCTCCCTCCCTCCCTCTTTTCCCAATTTTTCCTCCTCCTCCTCCTCCTCCTCCTCCTCCTCCTCCTCCTCTTTCTCATCATTCTCCTTCTCCTCCTCCGCCTCCTCCTCCCCCTCCTCCTCCTTCCGTATCTTGCCCCCCTCCGCCCGAGGCCCCTCAGAAGTCCCCGAAGGGGCCCGACGCGTCCACAAAACCACCCTACCGAAAGGCTCTTGGCCTCCCTATTCGATCCTCGAGGGCCCAGGGCAAGGCCACGCCATCGGCGGATACCCCGGGTTCAGCGACAAGGATTCGACCCCCAGCAGCGCAACTCGCTGTGCGTTGCGGCACTGGTCGACACGCAGAGGGGGTGCTGGGCGGCGGCGGGCGGCGTCACGCGGAGGCTGCGAACGACACTTGCTGAAAAGTGCTCTTCTATTGCGAAGGCCTTATTGCCCGTGCCGCCAACCCTGAAGACGACGAAGATGAAAACGAGCGGGGGGAGGGTAAGGAGCCGGAGGAGGAGGAGGAGGAGGAGGAGGAGGAGGAGGAGGAGGAGGAGGAGGAGGAGGAGGAGGAGGAGGAGGGGAGGAGGAGGGGAGGAGGAGGAGGAGGAGGAGGAGGAGGAGGGGAGGAGGAGGAGAGGAGGAGGAGGAGGAGGAGGAGGAGGAGGAGGAGAGGAGGAGGAGAGGAGGAGGAGGAGAGGAGGAGGAGTGGGGGGGGGGGAAGAGGAAAGGTGGAGGAGGCAGACGAGGGAGGAGAAGGGGGTGGGGAAGGTGGAGGAGGAGGAGGAGGAGGAGGAGGAGGAGAGGAGGAGGAGGAGCAGAGGGGGTGCTGGGCGGCGGCGGGCGGCCTCACGCGGAGGCTGCGCACGACACGCGCAAAAAAAACCTCTTCTGCTCGGGCGGGCACCTGACGAGGGCACATCGCTCCAGCAGGGCGTGGCGGAGCACGCCGGAGCGGCCGCGGCGCGCCCGACACGCCCTCGTCCCAGACCCGCCGGCTCTCTCGGAGGTCCCCGATGGTTTCGGGGGGTTCCTCCTCCTCTTCCTCCTCCTCCTCCTCCTCCTCCTCCTCGTCCTCCCCCTCTCCTCCTCGTCCTCCCCTCCTCCTCCTCCTCCTCCTCCTCCTCCTCCTCCTCCTCCTCCTCCTCCTCCTTCTCCTTCACCTTCTCCTTCTCATCCTCCTTCTCCTTCTCACCCTGACACGTCGATTAGTGAATTGTCCGTTTTCGGTTCTCGAGAGGGCGCCGCGGCCGTTATTTTCCAGGCTTGCCCCCGCCAGGTCGTTTTCACTAAACCACGTTTTACTGCAGGGAGGTCTGTCCATTACCGATGGTTGTCCTCAGCCGCGTTCGTCCGCAGCCTGCCCTCGTCTTAGGCTTCAGTCGGGCATGTCCCTCTACAGGAGGAATAGTCCAGAACAGTCAAAACATAGTCTGGGGACATTTTTCCCAACCTTCCTGTGGTGTTGGGTCCTCGATTTGAAGAGACAGCGGCCCGCGTCTCTCCTCCTTCCTTCCTCCTCCCCCTCCTCCCTCCTCCCTTCTCCCCCTCCTTGCCTTTGCTCTCGGCACACCTTTCACACGCTTCGTAGCCCCATAGGGAGCTGCACCGAAGGCCCCAGTGGGGGTGCTCGCATGCGTCTCCCCCGCGCAGGACAGCGTTTCGTGGCCCCATAGGGAGCTCCACCGAAGGCCTCAATCGGGATGTTCGCCTGCGTCTCCCCCACGCAGGACAGCGCTTCGTGGCCCCATAGGGAACTCCACCTAAGGCCCCAGTGGGGGTGTTCGCATGCGTCTCCCCCACGCAGGACAGCGCTTCGTGGCCCCATAGGGAGCCCCACCGAAGGCCCCAGTGGGGGTGTTCGCATGCGTCTCCCCCACGCAGGACAGCGCTTCGTGGCCCCATAGGGAGCCCCACCCGAAGGCCTCAATCGGGGTGTTCGCCTGCGTCTCCCCCACGCAGGACAGCGTTTCATGTCCCCATGAGGAGCTCTACCGAAGGCCTCAATCGGGGTGTTCGCATGCGTCTTCCCCACGCAGGACAGCGCTTCGTGGCCCCATAGGGAGCTCCACCGAAGGCCCCAGTGGGGGTTTTCGCATGCTTCGCCAGGCTAATTTTTGATTTTTTCGGACTAGGTTTGAATAATCATTCTCTGCCCCAGAATCCGCCTGTAGGGCCAGTCCACGGTCGTAGGAGCAGGGAAAGGAGGAGGAGGAGGAGGAGGAGGAGGAGGAGGAGGAGGAGGAGGAGGAGGAGGAGGAGGAGGAGGGGCAAGAAGAAAAACATTGCGAAGGAGGGGCAAGAGGAGGAGGAGGAGGAGAAGGAGGGGCAAGGAGGAGGAGGGGCCAGTCCACGGCGGGCTTTTCCCCTCCAGAGGCTTGCTTCCGGGGGCTCCGGCGCGGACCCGTTCTACAACGACCCCGGCCCCAGGGAGGAGCTGCCGCACTCGCTGCGGCCGCGGCCGCAGGCGCCCAGGACCGGAGGGCCTCCTCCTTCTCCGTCTGTGCATCCCCCTCCCTCCTTTTGTCCCCTCCTGCTCCCCTCGTCTCTCCCGCTCCCCTCCCCCTGCTCCCCGTCCCCCGGGTCCTCCTGCTCATCCCCTTTTGTCCCGTCTTCCCCCGATCGGCCCTCCTCCTCCTCCTCCACATCCTCCATCATCCGTGCTGATCCCCCACCTCCTCCTCCTCCTCCTCCTCCTCCTCCCTCCTCTCCTCCTCCTCCTCCTCCTTCTGCTCCTCCTCCTCCTCCTCCTCCTCCTTCTGCTCCTCCTCCTCCTCCTATCATCTCGTCATCATCTCATCCATCAGCATCATCATCGTCATCAGCATCATCATCATCATCATCATCATCATCATCATCATCATCATCATCACATCATCATCATCAGACTCATCATCATCATCATCGTCATCGTCATCGTCATCATCGTCATCATCATCAGCATCATCATCACTGTCATCGTCACCATCGTCATCATCATTTCTCCCCCTCAGGGCGGAGGGATGGTAGGAGGGAGAGGAGGAGGAGGAGGAGGAGGAGGAGGACGAGGAGGAGGAGGAGGAGGAAGAGGAGGAGGACGAAGAGGGGGAGGAGGAGGAGGAGGAGGAGGAGGAGGAGGAGGAGGAGGAGGAGGAGGAGGAGCAAGAGGAGGAGGAGGAGGACCAGTGCAAACCCAAGACTCATCAACGATGCTGACATACACCCTCCCTGCAAGCTCCCTCTTCACAGGCTTCTACGAGGGTTCCTTTCCACTGGAGGAATTGCCCCATTGGGGGACAACCGTGTGCAAGTCCTGAAGCGTGCCAGAAGCACCATTCTCAGGACTTCAACGCCACGAGTTAACCTGATTGTCACGTCTTGGCGATCCTGAATCACGCCAGACCACCAGTCTTGAGACGTTATCACCACGAGACAATGTAACTGCTGCGGGCTGACACTCCTGAATCGTTCTTCAACGCCGTACCTGGTACATTAACAATGGGAATCCGCGAAATGATTGCCATGTGTTTGAACGAATGTGCGCGGCGCCTCGGGCGGCAGCCACATGTTCAAAACGGCCCGCCCTCAATCCATGAAGCTCTTGCACATGTTGCAGAGGAATGCGTGCGGTGCTGCGGCGAGAGCCACCTTGTGGAAACTACCCGCCCTCCATCTGTGAACTAATGGCAGTTGTTTTGAAAAGAGTGTGCCCGGCGCTAAGGAGAGAGCCACAGCTTGAAAACGACCGCCCTCAACCCGTGAAGTTCTTGCCAACATCTCAGAAAAGGAATGTGCGCGACGCGAAGGCGAGAGCCACATGTTGGAAATCACCCGCACTCCATCTGCGAAACTGTTGCCAATTTCAAGGTTTCGGGGTCATGAACGGTGAGGAATACTCAGGCGGAACGCCCGGCCCGCCCGTTCGACTGGCATTGGGATGCGACAAGGAGGGGTTATCTCTAAGTAAAAGGAATGGAGGAGAAGGAGGAGGAGGAGGAGCAGGAGGAGGAGGACGAGGAGGAGGAGGAGGACGAGGAGGAGGAGGACGAGGAGGAGGAAGAGGAGGAGGAGGAGGAGGAGAGGGAGGAGAGGAGGAGAGAGGGCGAGGATGAGGGGGAGGCGAAATTCGCAAATCGGAGCAGAACGATGAGGACGGGGGCGAGCATTACGAGAAACATCCGAGCAGACCGATGGAGAAGGGAAGATGAAGAATGAGGAGGGGGGGGGGAGAAGGGGGGGAGGGGACGAAGGGGAGGAAGGGCGGGAGTTTGGGCAGAGGGGAGGAGGAGCGGAAGAAGGGACATGAGAAAGGTGGTTCGGAGGCGGAAGGAGTAAGGGAAAGAGAAGATTTCGGAGGAAGGATCAGACAATAATGGTAGTTAGAGGATGTTTTGGGGAGTGGCGAGAGAGGAGAGGGAAATGGGAGCAGGGGATATGAGTAGGAGGGAGGAGACCGAAGGACGGGAGGAATGAGGGATCGAGAGGAGGAGGACTAGGAGGAGAAGGAGGAGGAGGAGGAGGAGGAGGAGGAGGAGATGGAGTGGGTGGAGGATGGGGGAAGGGGTAGATGAGGGAGAAGGGAGGCGTGCGCAGCAAGGAGGGCGTAGTCAGGAGACGAAGGGGGAGGACGGGGCAAGGAAGGAGAGAAAGGGATGGGCGCGAGCAGGAGGGAAGAGCAATGAGGGATCGAAGGAAGGGGGGAAGGAGGAATATTGTGGGCTGCGTGCAGATCGGAGCGGGAAGAAGCCGAACCCTCGGGGAATCCCCGCTCCCGACGCGCAACAACGACGACGATGACTACGACTACGCTTGCGACTACGAGGAGGAGGCAGAGAAGCAGGAGGAGGAGGAGGAGGAGGAGCAGGAGGAGGAGGGGCGGAGCTATTTTTCCGCCGAGAGAAACAGGAGGGGGGATCCAAGGAACTAAAGACCTCCCGAGGTGAGTGTTCACTCTTGGGGGGGTGGCTCACAAGACCTCTCGCGGTTAGGCGGTCTGGGGCCCTGGCGTTCCCGCGTGCGGGAGGGAGGCTGTCGAGCGAACGGGGGGGGGGCCTCGGGTGTTGGGAAGACGGCAGGGCGCCAGAGGTGTGCACGCCGTCGTGACCTCCGTCGCCCTCGCAGTCGCCGCAGCCCCTTGAAAGGCTCAAGCCAGACAGGCAAGCACTGGCCGCACCGCGCTGGTGCGTCGTCTTGTCTTCGACGAAAGGGAGGAGAAGATACCGTCGCCCGCCGCCCATCACCCGTCGCCACGGCTGGATTCCCTTCGTCGCGTGCCCAAGGGCGTCACCGTCCCGAGCTCGTGCAAGCCTCCCGCCCCGCGGAGCGGAGCGACGGGCCATCCGCTTGCAAGGCACAGCGAGTCGCCGGGGCCGCCGCTGCGACACGCTGCGCAGCATTTTCTGACCGTAGCGTTAAGTCGGGCCTGTCCCTCTACAGGGGGAATCTTCAAAAATAGTCAAATCAGAGTCTGGGGGCGATGTTCTGACCATGTTTGAAATTTTAGCTGGGGCATGTTGGGGGTGTTTTTATGTTTTTCCTCCCGAATCCGCCTGGAGGGGGACATGCCCGACCGAACCGCAGCGGTGTCGGTGGCTTTTCGACCCCCATATCGACACCAACGAAGATGGGGCCGCGGCGTGGCGCGACCGCGCTGGCCCTGGCCCTGCTGTGCCGCTGCGCCACGCTCGCCGCGGGCGCCGGGGGGTCGATATCCGGCACGCAGAAGGTGATCCAGATGCTGACGGACATGGCGGCGAAGTCCAAGGAGGATCGTCGAGAAAGAGCAGGTCGGATGAGCAAGGGGTCGTGCGAATGGGTGACTCGTTGTGCGATGTGTCCAGGATTTGCTGGCTCTCCGATGTAGCGCTCCACGCGGGCCGCAGGAGCGAGCGGCGCGAGCTACTCGAGAACTCCCGGGCAGTATCCTGAGCCAGTCGCGTCATGACATCCATCTATCCTACATGAACCCAGTGCGAGCCTAATTTGTGGACAACGTTTTACTGCATTGGCGCGTTGCCTGGCACTGCTTGGCATAATTACGTGGCATTGTTCGGCGTTGCTTGACATTGCTTGAGAACTCGTGGCATTCCTTGGCATTGTTTGGCGTTGCTTGGCATTTCGCTCCGCTGCTTGGCATTGCTTGGTATTGCGAGGCACGGCGTTGCGTTGCTTGGTTATGTTTGGCATTCCGCGGCGAGGCAGAAAGGAACAAAGGAACCAAGGGAGCAACGAACTTAGACCAAGGAATCAAGGAACCAAGAGCAAGGAAGCAATACAAAGGAACCCAGTCCAAGGAACCAAGGATCTAAGGAACCAAGGAACCAAGGCCATGGAAAAAAAAGAGCCAACACTGTGGAACGTAGGAACCAAGCAACCAAGGAAGAAAGTAAGCAAGAAACCGGAGGAAGGCAGCAAGGAACCAGGAAGAAACGAAGGAGTGAAGAGCCAGGAATCTGGGGAACGCCACTGTAAGGGAAAAAGGCAGAGGAGCCCCGACCAGGGCCAAGGAACCCCAGGGAACTCTGGCGCGACCGCGTCCGGAACTCATTAGTTGCTTCACAGACAAATCAGGACCCTCCTAAGCAAACCCTAGTTTTGGCACAAATTGCATTCGCATGAACTGTTGGAGGTCTGTGCAGATTTGTTGTGCCTCCCCCCTGGCTGCGCCTCTGGCGCCGCCCCTGGCGCGCTTTGCGCGCAAAGGGGAGGGTGGGGGGTTGAGCGCCGACCCAAGCAATCCGAGCGGGGGTCCGACAATTTCTGGTTGTGTTCTTGTTGCTCTTCTAGGAGAAGGCGGAGGAGGAGGTCAACTTCTCAAAGTTCAAGACGTGGTGCACAGAGGAGATCAGGAAGGTGACCGCGGAGATCGCGAAGAACGCCGCTGACATCGAGTCTCTTACCGCAGAGATTGCAGCGCTGAAGGCGGCCGCCTCAGAGCTGGAGAGTGATGTCGCCCAGCTCAACCGCGATGCGACCAAGTACGATGCTGACATGGAGAAGGAGACCGCTGAGCGCAAGAAGGAGCACGAGGCGTTCGTCGCCGAGGAGCAAGACTACGGCGAGAGCGTCGATGCGCTCGGGCGTGCCATCACGGTACTAAAGGCGCAGGACGTTGACCGCACGGGCGCGTCATCGGCCTTGGTGGAGCTGGCGAAGGACTCGAAGCTGCCCTCAAAGGTCAAGTCGGTGGTCACTGCTTTCGTGGCCATGGCGAGCAACAGCAGCGACCCCAGCAACCTGGACTACAAGGCCCCCGAAGCTTACGGGTACGAGTTCCAGTCGGGCAGCATCGTGGACATGCTGAAGAAGCTGGAGGACGAGTTCAGGACTAAGCTCGGGGAGTCACAGAAGGAGGAGATGAACTCAGCGCATGCGTATAGCATGGTCATGCTGGACCTGAAGGACTCCAAGGAGAACTCCCTACAGGACATTCGTGACAAGACGGCTCAGATGCAGCGCAAGCTCGCCAAGGCCGGTGCCAGCAGCAAGCAGTTGACCGCGACAGAGTCCATGAAGGAGGCCAACGAGAAGGAGCTCAAGGACATGCAGACCGAGTGCGTCCAGAAGGACTTGTCCTTCCAGGAGAAGCAGAAGCTCCGCGCAGAGGAGATCGAAGCGATCGAGAAGGCGGTGGAAATCCTGTCCTCGCCGGAGGTGGCCGGCGCGGCGGACAAGTACCTGACGCTGGCGCAGTCCAAGAAGAGCCCCGTCGCCCTCATCCAGGCGGACTCGCGCTCCAGCGCCGAGGCTCGGGCGCAGGGCATCCGCAGGAGGGTCCGCGACTTCCTCCAGCAGGAAGGCCACAGGCTTCGGGGGCAACGCTCCGGGGGGGCAGGCTCGGGAGGGGCGAAGTTTCGAGGCTCGGGGACGGATGCCTTCATGCGCTGTCGTGGCCTTTCGGCGGCCATCCGGCCTCGGGATGCCTTCTGGCGGCTGCGCCTCGCCGAGAGCGTTCCGGTCCCGGGGGGTGCCAGGCTCGTCCTGAACCGCCGCCCAGGGCCCGAGGCATTACCCGAGAGCCACCAGGTGCCAGGTTCAGGGGGGGCTGCATCGACACACACGCACGCACACACAATCGCCCGTTTCTCGGCGATGAGGGGCCCCAGGTCTCCACCTGGCCCAGGAACGCGCGGAGTCGCTATGGGGGCCTATCGCCGATACTTCGGCGATGTATCCCCGATTCCAGGTCGACGCCCCAATGTGCCAAGTGATCCTCGTCGTCTATTGTTGCCGGGCCATGTAACTCGGGCCTCAGGCGCCCTGTTGGGGCGATCCGGGGGCTGCCGTCAATCTGTGGGCTTCCCATCTAGGTAAGTTCCAAAGGAGAAGTATGGGAAGCCCGAGGCCGCAGAGCGTCAGATGCGACCCCCACGACCTCAAGAAGCTCTTCCTGGAATTCGCGGCGGCGAGCGGGGCCCAGATTCCGAAGCATGGGAACCCCATGGGTCGCCATATTCCCCAGGGAATCTGGCGACCGATGGGTTTCCCAAGATTGTCCCCGCTGAATTATGGGAAACCCATGGGCCGCCAGAAACCCCTGGGGAATCTGGCGACCTACGGGTTTCCCAGAATTGTCCCCGCCGAATTCTGGGAAACCCCGAGGTCGCCAGAAACCCTTTTATGACATTTTGCGACCTATGGGTTCCCCATAACTCTGGGCGGCGTGTGGGGGGCAGGATTTCTCAGGATTGCCAGAATCTGCCCCCGCAGAAATATCGGAAACCCATGAGTCGCCGGATTCCCTATGGGTGTCTGGCGACCCATGGGTGTCCCATAGTTCGGAAGCTGGACCCCGCTCGCCGCCGCGAATTTTGGGGAACCCATAGGTCGCCAGAAACCCCAGGGTTTCTGGCGACCGATGGGTTTCCCATAATTTCAGGATCTGGACCCCGCTCGCTGCCGCGAATCATGGGAAGCCCAGATTCCCTATTGGGTTCTGGCGACCGATGGGTTTTCCATAGTTCGGAAGCTGGACCCCGCTCGCCGCCGCGAATGACAGGAATCCCATGGGTCGCCAGATTCCCCAGGTTTTCTGGCGACCTACGGGTGTCTCATAATTCGGCGGGGGCAATCTCGGGAAGCCTATCGGTCGCCAGGTCCCCTAGGGAATATGGCATGGCGACCCATGGGGTTCCCACACTTTGGAGTCTGGATTCCGCTCGCTGCCGCGAAGCATGCGAAACCCATAGGTCGCCAGATTCTTTAGGGGGTTCTGGCGACCCATGGGTGTCTCTTACTTCGGCGGGGGCGATCTCGGGAAACCCGTAGGTCGCCAGATCCCCCAGGGAATATGGCGATCCATGGGGTCCCATGCTTCGGAATCTGGGCCCCGCTCGCCGCCGCGAATTATGGGAAACCCACCGGTCGCCAGAAACCCTAAGGAATATGGCGGCCTATGGGTTTCCCATACTTCGGAGTCTGGACCCCGCTCGCCGCCGCGAATCATGGGAAATCCATGGGTCGCCAGACTCCCTAGGGAATCTGGCGACCCATGGGTTTCCCATAATTCGGAATTACGGGAGTCCCATAGATCGACGACTGCCGATCCGGGCGCCCCTGGAGCGCTCTCGTCGAGACGCAGCCGCTGGGAGGCATCCAGAGGCTGGAGAGCCGCCGACAGCCGACGAGATTATCCGAGAACCTCGAACCTCGATGCCCCCCCCTGGAGCAAGCCACGCCCCTGACGTTGCCCCCTCAACAGGTTGAAGAGCCAGGGGCTCTCGGCCCTCGCGGACAAGATCGCGGCGGATCCGTTTGCCAAGGTGAAGAAGCTCATCGACGGGATGATCACGCGCCTCCTGGAGGAAGCGAAGGAGTTAGAGGAGGGAAAGGTACCCATACCCCATACCGCTACCCGTGCCTCGTTTTTCCCCTTGGGGGGCCTCCTGGGAGGCCCTCGAAGGGACGGACACGCGGGACCATTCAGACTCTGGTGATACACAAAAGCGAGTGGCCAAGGTTGCGCGGCAAATTGTCTATCGTCGTCGTCGCCGTCTGCCTCCTCCTCCCCCTCCTTGTCCTCCCTCCAGACAATTCGATGTATCGAGTCTTCTTGTTGTCGCATTTTGTTTCGCCACCAGCGGCGCCCCAGTGCCACCCCGCAGTGCCCCCGCGGCACCTG